TAACCATATTGTATCTCATTTGAGTTGATAACTAGTCACTTGGTGAATTAAGCAGTAGGCCTATTTGAGGTATCCAGTCTACGGGCCGGTGAGCTAGCAGAGTGTATCGCGAGAGTAGGCAGGCCAACAACAGAACCTTGACGGCGATCATTGAAGTTTGCTCCACTGTATCTCGCTATACAATGATGATGATGATGATGATGATGATGATGATAGTGAAACTCAATTGTTACATGACACCAGAAAGCGGTCTGGTGGCGCACTTGGGTGGTCATCGAATCAACCAGTTCGATAACAACACGGCATAGCAATCAAGCTCTCTTTCAGTTATTCATCATCATGTTATTACACAACATTGAATATTACTGACCGATTTTTAAAACTAAACGCTTCCCGTCGACTTTCATTGAAGCGTTTAGTCGTCTTATTTTTGTCACGTGTGTCAAGACTTTTAAGTTCGAGGGCCACACTTTCTAACGCTTCTTTGTTTTCCCCATACCGTAAACATATATTCGCCTTGCCTTCACGTGGACCGCTTCCGTATTCCTTGAACCCTCCTTTTTGACGAACAGCATGTGACCGATTCCGCCGTACTGCGTGATTCACATGGCGCTCAAACTATCCCGTCCGACTGTCCCACAGCTTCGTCAAGTCGCGTGAAACACGCTGCTCCCGGTGCCACAAACAAGCCCCAGTACACATGGCGTATTGATCTGATGCGCACGCAACAATTCTGGCACGAATGGTTTGCCGGTTTGTCCTCTTTGTTTCTGTCTATCCCGGAACCGAAGCTCTTGCTATTGGCCGGTGTCGATCGACTTGATAAAGAACTCACAATCGGTCAGATGCAAGGTATGATTTTAATTGAGGCTTAACTTTATCATTTTTTGCATGGTAATGCAAACAAAAATAACTTGTCTTAGTTATCGATCTAGGCTTCTTTGTACTTTTTTCTCATTTACGGTTTATATGTTCATACACTACGGCTTATTCTAACAAAATCCATTGCTGGTCTTCTGCGCCCGATTTAAACTGAAATTTGCGAATGACGTGTTCCCCTTTCCTGGAATAAATGTATATTCTTGTGCTATCTTGGTATCGCTTTATGATAAATTGGTTTCATCTAGGAACTCTGGTCTTACTCCTGTTTATCGTAGTACTTCGCCACCATCCTTCGAGAGCATCTCGGTTTTCCGTTCGCAGAATAGTACTTCCATGCGCGCTTAATTTTTGAGCTGATGCACACTTGTTTTCCACTTTCATTATAAATTATCAACCGATAGTACCACTGCTTGCCGTTTTCTGTACAAGGAAAATTCCGAGTTCCAAGCTGAAAAAATGAAAAGATTCGAGGTCCTCTGAAGACTCATTGTATCCGGTTGCCTGTATCGGACAGAAACCAAACGGAATTTTTATTTCTTACTGTTGCTGTATAGTCCGTGAGAATTGTGTTCATATGAACTGACATCGACATTTCTTCTGTGAAGCGCGTACTTCTGCTGTTTTTGTTCCCTTTCTCTGGTTTGAATACGACGGAAAGCATGACGCGAAACTGGCATTAGATGATAAAATCGGATGGGACGGCTCATCAGCGTCACCCAACTGTTTCGTCTCTCTTGACACTACTTTTAAATAATTCTACTTGTCTGATTAGTCCTCAATACCTACTTTCAAATTAAGTCTGTCGCACGATTGTGTGCTCCTCACTTCCTCTTGTTCATTAACAGTCCGTTTCCAAATATCTTGTTGCATGCAACAGTTACGCTATCCGTAAACGTCACTCGACCTCTTAGCTGAACCACGTGATCATGGGACCCGGTATACGATGGCGTTACGTACGTGATAACACAGATCGCGATGCGCTGATCAAAATACATTAGTCTTTCGGACTCGGTCACTATAAAAGTCGTCCGAACATCATGTTCAGCACTTAAGCTCATTGTTGCATATGATACCACCAACACAACGGTCTTTGCTATCTGGATTGGAGCATCTGAACATGCATCGACTTGACAACTACCGTTGATCAGGAGCTCTGGTGAGCTCTGTAAATTATCAGCGTAAAACTTTGACGAAGCCTAATGATCCCCAAGCACAACCTAGCCCCTTATCATAAAACAACTGCCCAAATTTTTCTTCAACGTTATCTACGATCAAAATAAGATTAGCCGGTTGCAAACAATGTTATATGGTTTGTTCATTCTTACTTGGGAGCACACTTCAGAATGAACGAGGATAGCTTGAAGTTACACAGTTATACATTTTTCTTACACACTTTGGTGTAATGCACAGTAAGAGGCAGTATTTCAGTCTTGAAGAGTTATTGGGAACCGGCACTTTGAGTTTCGAGATGTGTGCTCTTTAACCCAAGGTATCAAGAGGTGTAACAGCGAGACTTTCATAGTTCGGGATCTGTTCCCCTTCCAATCACACTCATCTATTTTATCAAGTTATCATTGTATTCAGTGCTTTTGCGCAGGTCTTCAAGTTTATAGCATTTATGGTTGTGTATGGTCTGTGAATGTGTAGTTACTCGCCATTCGAATCGTTTTGATGCGGACTGACTGTACCGGTAAATTTATCTTAACAGTATTGAACTATGATTTTCGTCAAGGCAAATATTCCAACAGTAGGAATGCTTCTAAGTGAGTCATCAATCCATTTCGTATCTGAGACGAGAAAATTAGGAATTTTCAAATTGCAGTGAGTCTTTGGCTCATCAAAATCAGCTTCTTGGTTCAACTACGAGGACGATTGTTCCAATTAAGAAATACTATACTTTACGGGACAGAATTCACCCTGCTGAGGGTGCACCCGAAATAGCTAGGAGCTAGCAGAGTTCGAAGATATTGCTGTTTCGTTAATCTTCACAACATTTCATTTATTTCTATGTGGAGTATTCACATAACCAACTCTTTCATAAAATCAGCCGAACTAAACTGAAAGGTGTTCAACTCACTTCAATCTTGAGCTCACAAAGAACACAAACAGTCCGATGCTGACTCTTATTCTGTGTCAGATCCCAGTCACTCGCATCCAAACCGAAAGCATGACACAGAAGTAATTCCGGGAACGAGTGTTAAGTGGTTGCGCCGGTAACCCGAACTTCACAACGCTTACATGATTATCATCCGTAACCCACCAATAAATGTTCGCTGATTATTTCCCTTTGGGCAAATGGAACACACTCAAAATTCGACCCTACCTTCAGCTCAATACACGCGATCGGAAAAGCACACCCATGCGCTTTTGTTCACTGAGTGCACTGACCGGAACATTGTTGTCCTATGTACTTCTTTTTTAGGTTAGAACTATGTGCATGTGGGTTGATGTGTTGTGCATGGGTGTGCAAACGATCCGCGATCTTTTCATGTGTTTATGCCCAATTTCGTTCGCACACTTATTTTGGACTGGGTGATTATCGTCTCAGGCAATTGCATTTCATAACAAAAACTCATTTTTCACACACTGGACGTGGCTTTTTTGTTTTAACGATCTTAAACGTAGGGTCGGTTTGTCGGTTGTTATTACTATTCCTTCATTCAAATCGTTTACATCATCTCATGCGTTCTTCGTGTCATGCAAACTTCTGTAAATGATTACTGATTGTGAATAGAAAAACAAGACACATTTACGTCTCAGCTAGGCTTTTCGTTCTTGGCACGCTTGTTTACATTAAAGCTAGGTAAGGTTTAAAATGTTCAGAGCTTGATAAATGAACCAGATGCTGTTCATTATCATCATCACTACTGATCCAGCTATTTTATCACAAGCCCGAAGAATACCTTCTGATGGGGAAAATTTGCACGTCTACCAATTTTATCTAATCGGCAGAAGCGAGTGCTTTTTGGCGTGAAATGTGTATCATAATTGGGGACGTTCATAGAGGTCCGCTTATGTATGAAAAAGAACCACGAGAGTCATTTAGGTTTACGCCGCCAAACTGGATTTCGATTGATATTCACCAAAGCCATTGTTGTTATCGAATTTGTATCCAGAACGGTTGAAACAACCATAAGAAGTGCACATAAACTATCCATTTGTGTTGATTGGTAATTGTTGAACATCAGGTATATCAAGGTTACTATGATCTTTTGCAGAGGGGTGTTGACGAAAACGTTTTAAGAGATCCGGTTGTACAGCGAAACGGTGAAGGTCATGAACTCATCGACCGAAAGTTCGAGAGATCTGAGGTCCTTCGCAAGCCTCACAGCCCCATGATGCATTGTTTAGCAACATTCACTCAGAAACTATGCCAAGCTTTGCTTATTTCCGCTTGTATCGTTTCTTCTTTTTTGTTACACAGCATTGTGTGATGAACAACAGGGATAAACCGGCTAATCACGAAAACTTAGTGTTCACTCGTAACCGTCAACCTAAGTCTTGGGACTTGGAGTGGTGGCCTCACTACGATGGGCGTTGTATCGAGCCAGCCAACAGCGAAGCTCCCTACCACCAAATAAATGATACACAGCGTCTGTCGACTGGGAAAAATACGTGCGCGATCATTCCAGTCATGTTAAATGTGTCAGCATCTGGACGTGGTGTGATGGCTTGCTTGATATTTTTGGTCTTACATTCATATTATGCAATCTATATCCGCTTGTCCTCCGGGAAACTCATGCATTTGATCGATGAAAATACTCCGTCATTTATGCTTTATCTTTTAGTAAACCAAGTTTCCTTCACCTTTTTATTTACTCGCAACTAGTAATGCATGCGATTTGGCTAGTTTATCTCATTCCGCACCCGTGCACATTTTCCTTAATTTTGTTGACTTTTATTTATTGTCAACAGGTAAATTTCAAGTTCGCGTTTTTCCCAAATCCGGTCACGCGGTACAAGAGGACGCCCCGGAATTGGTAAGTCAATAGCAAATGTTTTTTTACACTAAATCATGTCGTTTTCTAATGCAGTTTGGCCCATTCTTATTATAGGATCAACTGAACGTTGGATCTTCGTGTTTGTAGGTGTATACTTTCAGCCATCGATAAGGCTTGCACTGGATTGTTTGCCCAGCTCACGAATATTATTAACAGATTTTGTGGGGAAAAATGAGATTCTCACCATGAAACCTGGAAACCTTACGAAAATTCTGATTCAGCTTAGCTGGATAAAGTGTGCAAAGAGGCAGTTATGTCACTCCTGACATTGGCATAAATTTTGCAGTGAAAACGTTTGGTTGCAGCTACAGAGCAATCAAATTTGAGAAAACATTCTGTAGACAATAAATGGCAAATTCTTGATCGAGCAGACACTTGTGAAGATCTTAAAGTTATTTTGTTAACTGGGTTAGGTACGAGTATCTCATTGTTGGGATAGCACACTTAGAAAGAAGAATGAAAATGCCATCCTAACCGGTGAGCACAAACAGAACGAAGGCAATAACTGGTCACCAGAAGTTGAAAGTGGTTTTACACCAAACCAATGATCGAACAATTAATGCGTTTTTCAGGATAGTGTAGGATGTTGAAGTCAGCTTCTCTTCTTACCTTACGTTTTGAATGCCTTGACAGAGTCTGAATGATGATGAATTGAGAATCCCATCCATTGCTCGAGTGTGTATGCAAAATTCATGGTTCTATTGAGGGAATCAATCAACACAGCGTCACCCCGTTGCCCTGATCTACATTAACGTATGTATTTCGTTCTCTACCACTTCCATCTTATCATTTTAAAGCCGATGACTTCATTGTCATCGTGAAGTTGTGTTTCTTCAGGATAAATAATCCATATGGGTCTTGCCAGTTTTAGACACCATATTTGTTGACATATCAGAATGGAGTCGTTCTATCATAATTGCACCTCTTCGGATCGCACCACTGTATCCAAAAGCCATGTTCGTTCGCGATAGACGAAGCGCAAACAAATTAGATGGATAAGCCACCTGTGAAGAAATCAGTGCTATCGATTTGGTCTCGTAGCTCGGTTGTCATAGCGTGCACTCTACAACAACGTTAGTGGTGTCCATGGATGGATTCGAATCCAACAAAGACTGTTGTTCTTTTCACAGTCCAATCATGAAAAACATTGTCTTCTTCTGACTGCAAACTAACATATTTTGAACAAAGAATGTTCACGAAATTAATTCGATCTAAATGTCGTCCGTACTACTAATGTCCACTTTACTCGGATCCGCAAGTCTCGTAGAAACTGTGCTTAGGTCGTCATCTGGTGACCACACTGCCGAAGTTGCCACACAATACGGCAGTAGGCAAAGGTGTATCGGAGGCAGGAGTAAAAGTCTAGAGTGCTGACCCAATCGATCATAGTGAAGTGATTTTTACATGTCTCTTTATGTGCAGTATCTACCGATCGATTCATTTGATTATTAAGACTGACTTGATCGATCCTCATTATTGTTTCGTGGCTTTGTTAATTGTTTTAGGTTGCCGAGTGTTTGGCTCGATTCCTCGTTCGGAATCGATTTACAGAGGCCCGATCGAACTGTGGTAACTGATCAAACCCGGTAGGTAGGTTTGTTTGTTTGCTTGCTTCTCTCGACGTGCGTGTGTGTGATCACCATTTTCAGCCCAATACGGATTATTTTTGATCTTCTTATCCATTTGTAAATGTGAACATTCATGTTTTAAATCTTTGTTGAGTGTTAAAATTTCTTACGGGTATTGTGTCATTTATCAAAACTTCGCTATTTTGCCTCTTTATCTTCCAACGGCTAATTGTAGTGTTCATCTGGTTTCTCCATACCACAATTAGAAAGTGGTTAACCACTTTTAAACATTCATTCTTTTCCGTTCGTATCTGAGCGAACACAACCATGTCCATTAGATGTTTGATCACACACCCGAGTCTTTTCGACACTTTGATAACTTCGTTCCACACAGATAAAAAAGTAGCTAGATGCTATTCGGAACTTTCACCGGGGCATTGTTGGTTTGAAACGGACGTTCCTATACCTGGGTTGAACGGAAAGGTTAATTAACAGTCAAACCAATTATATTTTCCTTCAGCTGGTTTGAGTTTGCGGAAATATCTTTTCCTAAGTATCACAAAATTAAAAATCCGTTCTCTTTGTGTATCAACATATGCTTGACTCGGAAATGGGAAGACCCATGATTTCAAGGTTGAAAATGATCAGTTCTGTTCATCTTTGTCATTACATTAATACTGGACTTATCCAATTTTTGAAGGATTTCAGATATTTGTCCAGCACCTCACCCTTCTCACCGAATATTCCACGTCATAAATGTCAACTTATCTAAAACTTGACCTGGTTTACTATTCCAACTGCTGAAGCCTAGCTTCTCGGTTTCCGCTATTGGATAACACATCTTTCAACCATTCATCCCATTGTTCGTTCCAAAATAAACAAGCTTCGTCCGTTACCCTAGGCGTCATGGTGTGCACAAGCCAGGAATGCGCCTTTCGACATGCAGCTGAGCCTGTCGCCTCGAATGTAATTCGTACTCCGGAAACTTGACACACAATACCAACTTTTATGGTCTTATTTTCCCATTTTAGTTTGGATTGACCATTTGACCGACCCATTTGGATAACTGTGTTCCTCTGATTGGGCCAGTAATAGCACATGCATCATGTTGACGCAAGTGTCTCTCTCTCGCGCGCACATGCACGTTCGCGCCTAATCTATATTTGGCTCCTGGTGCGGTGTGATTCGAACAAATGCACCAGCATTTACATGCGTCCGTGGACATATTTGCTGCTTGTCTCTTGTTATTGGATCTGCGCGCACGACCACCATCTGCGTACTCGCTAGGTGTGAGCGTGTGCATGAGGTTTATTCACGTTTGAATACGTGTATTTCTGGTTCACTGTTTGAATTCCTATTCAAATCTTGTTTGGCTTTGCGTGCGTGTGTGTGCGCGCGTGCATGAGTGACCCACAAACGCCCGTGGTATGTCATGTGTCATGTTGTCTATCCTGCATTAGCATCATCCTGCGTGCCTAGTTACTACTTGGGTGTGTACCATATGCCTGCCAAGATACAAACAGCTTCGTTTTCTTTCCTATTCGTCTTTCTCTCGTTGTCGTCGTTAGCTTTGTCTCCGACCCCGTGTATACTTTCCCGATGAACTGTCAGCGCTGCTCTAAAATTGATGGAATTCCTACCCCNCCCGAGACACACGATTATCGCAACGCACAATTTTTTTTTTGGAATCATTCCAATTCAATAAATAAGTAGATGAATGTCCTTGGGTTTTAAGCAATTACTTCTCTGTCACTTGTTTACCTGAAAGCTGTGTTACACGTGTCCTCGCCGTCTCGAATTCGCACCTGCGTAGAGAGCACGTGTGGCTCCTTCGACGACGCATTTATACTCGGAAGGATTTACATTTACTCTAAAGTCTTATAATTAGACTATTCTGGCTCGGTTTTTCAGTCGAACGGTTTTCTTTTCGTTTTGATTAAGTGATCTTGCACAGTGATCTCATGTAATTGAGACGCAATTTCCCCTTAACGTGCCTGGTATCATTCACTCCAAACCCATCTCATCGAATATATAATACGCTCAGGCTTCGGCAAAATTTCTTTAATGCACTCGTCACGCAACATTCTGATGAAGTTTTCTATTAGGTTACTGCAGTATATTTTCCGTTTATTTGCATTTTTTCCCTCAGGTTTCTAACGGGCGAACCAGTTGAATTTGCCTCTGAAAGGTCTCAATGCTGACTGCTGACCGCCGCATTCTATTACACCTATGTATGTTTTTCCTCTGAGGCCGTGTTCTTTCCACATCCCACTTCAGTTTGCACGTCCAAGTCCGAGGTGGCACTTGCCGACCAACCTGCTTGTTTATCCGTTTGGATTCGACCTCGTGCTCAGATCCGCCTCAGTTTGATTGGGCTCTTCTTTCAATACTGTTGCTGCTGTTCATGCTTTAGGAGGCCACTTCAAGAACAGACCCCTTATGACTCTCTGTACTTTTCTACCTTAGTCCATTTCTGCTGATAAACTGTCTGAACGCGGACATAACACCTCATGGTCCCCTCCCATCTAGTGTTTCTAGACGGAAAATCCATTGTTCATCCCATACCACAGTTTACTCACACATGCATCTCTAAACCCCGCCCTCCCCTCCCCACTACCATTTTTTCCAGTTTTGGCTACCTGGCTCTGACTCCAGGTTCCCAAAGTCAGATTTTGATAATCTATTTTTGGGTTCATACCTGTGTGTGTATGTTTGCATCGTTCCCGTACCGACACGTATTTTCACGTGTATATCTTGTTCGCTACTGATTTAGACCTGTTGCTACTGTTCATCGGTTCTTGATTGTGCCTATTTGGGCCGTTTCTGTCATTTTCGTTCACCAGTTGCACACACACGTGGAAGAGGATGCCAGAGACATAAGACCGCTCCCTCCGTCCATTCAGTCGTCCCAAACCGAACCAGTTCATGCAGGTGCACTTGTGTATAATTGTGGTCGGTTCTCCGAGGTAGTAACGCCGAACCTAACCGCGTGTACCTGATTAATTTTCTACCCGCTCCTATCTCTTCCATCATCGAACTGCCCTTTTCCTGGGCTTCCTTCACCCTCTTGAAAAGTAGACAATTTTGCGTGCGGCAAGCAATCGAACCACGCCTTGGTCCTCAACTTACTTTTATTCAGCTTGCCTCCGCTTTACGACCACTTTCCCCCGATCCACAAGTGAAACAAAACACAGCATTGTTTTTGTCGTCCTTCACGTTGCAAATGTCTTGTCGGTTACACATTTGGTTCCATTACATTAATCTCTGTCCATAGACGTTTACCTTTCTGCTTTTTTCGGGGGCTGTCAGCAGTTGTGTTTGTTTGAGCATGGTCTAGTCCATTGAATTCCTTGACCTTATGCCTTGCACCATTTGAGGATTTAAATTACGCTATTGGTTATATATGGGATTATAGTTACTGTGAAACGGAAACACAGTCAACCCTATTTTGACCATTTTACCTATCAGATATGGATGGCTAGTTCAATACCGCTTTTCTGGTCCTCACCGTCACAGCTTGCTGTTGCGCGATATTTCAGGCATGCGTTTTATTAACGCTATTAGTGGACTTCATATTAGTCACAAGATGACATGACTGATGTATTAGTTCGGGCTCGAATAAGAATAGTGTGGTGTGTAGCTGGGCAAAAGCAAAGTGACCTCTCACCAAGTAGGGTGACGATAGCCCAATCAGGAGTTTAAAATCTGGAGCACTTCATTCACAGTAATTCGAGCCACCTCATAGTTGCGGAGGCTATTTTGCTACAGCACCATGTTGGATATTTGATTAAATTCTTTATTGATAGTACTATTGTTTTCGCTATAATTGTTTTGAGAATCGGTTAAATTAGTGTTTTTTGCAATGATCACTGGAAAATGAATGTGTGAATGAACAGTTTGTGGCGCCGATGGCCTTATTACGTAGGTGAAGTCTGATCGTCGTCGATCGGTACAGATCCGATTTGCGATAATACTCCACCACCATGTGATATCGCTCAGCACACTGCCGCCGTTCCTCCTGTTCAAATCGTAACTTAGTATTACATTGTTTCTTTTCAGTTTCGTTATCTCTGCTCTGCCTCGGTATCTAGGACGGGGGCAGGCGTATTTGGCTGTCAACTGCGAGGTGCCGCAGTTCCCCATGATCACTCGTGGATTGGGTGTTGGAACGTTTATTTGCCTGATCGTCGATTCGCACGATCCCAACCAGATCGATTAAAACCATCTTCAGAGTTTGGTTCTAGTACCGATCAGCTTCCTGGAGGGATTCAAGCCCTTTTTCGCTGGTGGCGTCGCTTGCGGCCGTTCAAAACCGAGTGGATTGATTTGCTTCGACGCATTGAACGAAACAAGGAAGGATTCGATGTAAGTAACTGTTTATTATATTGTGTCTTTATTGAGGGGGTGCTAAACAAATGTTTTCGATCATAATCCCAAGGGTACTTACTGTGCTCCGATACTCGCGTTCTTAGGAATGATTGCTATCACTCCTTCTGAGTTATTTGCTTTTTTTAAATATATAACTGTACGAACTATGTTTCCGCAAGAGGGAGGTAACTGACATGATACAAAATGACGGAAACTTAGGCGGCGGTGGCCGTGGTAGTGGGGTTCAAATACACCGAATCCGGAGCTGTTGACGACAGACGTCATCAGATGAACCGTATATTATATTATCATTGGCTTGTGGGCTAAATACTTCCAGGTTGCCCAGGCCAAAGCAGGTGAATTTTCTTGGGGACTCCACAACCAGACCCTTCGGCTAACGAAAGCCTGACCCACAAGGTAGCGGAGCGGTGTGAAAACCGCAATCCATTGGGAGCCGGTGTCCAGTTCATAGGATCATTCGCCCTTCGGACGGGGTCAAACGTCCAAGGTGCCCAAGACACCTCAATGCTCAATCGAGCCGATGACCACTGGCACAACCGAAAAGGTGTGGGTGTGGATCGTACACCTCCTCTTGGTTGGTTTGGAATCAGGGTTTTTGGCCAACTTCCCTATGTGAAATACCAGTGGTCCACCAACCCGGCTATAGCCCCGGATATCGGCTTTTCGTCCTCTCACTTTGGTGGGAAAACACTGCCGGCACGATAAGACAGTGAGTAGGGCTTCCTCAGCAAAGGCTATTCGAGACGCTTGGTCGTATTGGAGCATTTCGCTATGTGCAAGGGCAGGGTGACCAGCCGCAACTCTAGACACCGACCCCCGACCATACTGAGGCTTTTGGAGATGAACCGTAAATATCTCGCAGGTGTCAACGACTTGTCTATGCAAAATAATGCTTCCTTAGAGGATACAATTATCCTCACACAAACAGTGCCATCTGCTGCCTGTTGTTTTAACCGCTTGAAAGCGCTCACTGTGACTATTTGATCTAGTTGATTTTTGTAATTGAAAAACCGTCCTTTTGTTCGATATTTCAACCCTGGCTTTTCCGTCCGGTTCAATGTCGAGGAAGGGTTGTGGCATACAATTAAAAACGCGTATGGTTTGACCAAATTACGCTTTTATGTGAGCAAGACACTCAATTCAAGGTTATCCCTCTCTCCCAAACCAGTGGATATGGTCCACGGAACTCTGGCTAGGTGCATAATATGCATTTAGGCAAGATATTCACAGATATTCACTCACGAAACCTATAATGCAATCCAGGGAACTTGAAATTAATAGGAAATTTGAGAATGACCCGAGCCCTAGCAAATTTTTAAAAAACTGGGCTATACATCGTGTAAACAACCTCCCGTAGATCTTAACCAAAGTGCGTTTAATCCGTTAATTATTCTACATTGCTCCCCCCCCCCTCATGTTCCGCAAACACGTATTTGTACACGCAGGAAACGGCCTCATCCGAACAATGATAATCAACTATAACTTGATAGATTTTCCGCTGACAAACTGTGCATGTCGTTTGAACAATAAAATATGGTTCACGTGAATCCTTAATCAATGCTCACCTGTCAAATCGCGCTCACTTATGCACGCGCTTCCACGTGATCACACATCAACCACGCCTTTATTATCAGTTCGGTGAGCGTTGCGTCTAATTTTGTCAGGAAAGTTTTTGTTTCTAACAAACCGTCCAAAATGTCCCTCTTCCGGTCAACATTTGAATCGCCTTCAAATGCATTTAGGTCTCGGTGATTGTCAAAGGCACACTGATGTTCATAATTATTGGCGATGCACCCTGTGTGCGTGTGCCCCCCGTCCTCTCTCTCTGAACGACCTGTGTCGGCTCCACACGGTCCCTTAGCATGTGTACAGTGTGATCGCAACCGCCAATCCGCTTTCAGTCTGTGTGATCATTATCACTGCTATACGTTTGTCTTCTTCGTTTCTGATTCTTTGTTCAGCACAGCTAAGGGGTAATAAGTGAATAAAAAAATTTGATTGATGTTATTCATCAAATAGAACATGTTAGTATAAATAAGGTAGGTAGCTGATAAATAAAAGAATTCAAATTTTAAAAATCGACATCTGAATTTAATTATTGCCTCTGTATTCACAACCTTAATTCACGCAGTTTCCCTGTGCTTCATTATAATGTGGTGTTTGTACAAGATCACAAAATGATCTAAGTCTGACAAAGTTTGACAAACCCGAAAAATTCCAACATGCTGTGAGAGCACATGATTCACAGTGTCGATCTGTTTCAGCAGCAAAGCTGCACTCTCAAATGTGTCAATCCATCTCAACCAAGCAAGGCTGTCTTCTCACATTTCACTGAAACACTTCGAATCCGGTTCGATTGCGTTTGGTTTGTCTCTGTGGTAGATTTTCATATTTCTGTTCTTGTTCTATGGGTTCACTTGTCTCTCCTTCCTCAATCTTGAATCTCTTCAAAGTAAGTAGGACGTGAATTCACCCCAAAAATGGGAGCAAAATCGATAGCTAGTGTTTTCCTTCCCAGTCGAAATGATTAAGCTGAAAAAATTCTTGAAATAAAAATCTTGGCTTTTTTACCCGGGGTAAATAATTGGCTCTACGTTTTGACGTCTTGTTCCAGGCGACATATGACAACTGCTTATTCGAGGTTTTATATGTGATCACTGAAGTGCAGCAACCTAGTATGGATTGCCTTGATTCTGATATGACGCGATAAGGGACTATGGATGAACGAATTCATCTAATCGCAGTCGATACTAGACTCATGCTATCGACGCAATGATCCTCGTCTGCCCAGTGGAAGTTTAACACCAGACAATTCGAAGTTTCGCCAACCACCTCAAATCGCCCCTACTCACTCGCTGCCTATTTCAGGGCTAAACGATTCACAAAAACAACTCATTCACGGAACGCCTGCGCCAAAAAAGGAAACTAGGGAAATATGTGAAGTGTTCTTTTTCCTTGTACCTAGGTGACCAGAATTTATATTGGCCGTCCTTTTCGCGTATTCTCACACATTCATGTCAACCAAAAAATCTAGTTGAAGTAAGTCTTTATAACAGGGTGGTGGACAAGTTTCGTAACTGGATTTAGTCACGAGTTAAGGTCAATCTAGGTAACAAAGTTTTCAAAAGTGGATTGTGTAAAACAAGATGCTGGTGGAGGGGAGGTACGTCACAGCGCACTCGTATGGCGTTTGGTGTGACGTAACCACTACCACAGGACCAATAGTTGCGTCACAACTGTTTGTCAGACATGTAGTTTTGGCTTCAAGTAGTGAGTAATTATCGATTCTGGAAATCCCAAAATCTGGAGTCTTGTAGTGACCCGAAGCGCTTTTGGTAAGTCGTCTTAACCGCCGGAGTCTAGTAACTGACATGCCATTGCACCTAGTGATTGCTTTTCCCTTCGAAGGCCAGTTTTAGGGACCTGTTCGCACGTTCTGGCCGACAGACGACTTTCTGTCCGCCTATACTGACCACATGTCCTTTTGTGTTCACGAAAAAGGGAAAGTTTTGCCCTTATGCATCCACGGTGGTTTTACTGATTTTACTGTTATCGGTGCTCACTCCCAGGTGCCGACTAATTCACATATCGAAGAGGACAGCCAACCGTCACGAGTGCCACAAGATGTTTGTACCGTTCTTTTACTTCAGTCATTGACAAAGACTTAAAGTAATTCCCGTTTGTTTTCCCGCTTATAGAAATGGCCTTCAGTTCTCTGAACAAAAACCTACTTCATATTCTAGTTTTTCATTGGTGTTACTCCATTATTGCCCAGTTGACAGCTTTTTTCCTTCACTGATCAGCGACAGTGCAAGTCTCATCCCATTCTAGTCAACACAAGAATGCTCCCGTGTTCAACCCCTCTCCGTTTTCGTTTTTCGTTCATACACCCTCCAGCTCTCACTGCATCGACGTTTACTTTCAAGTGTTGTTATTCGTGCTACTTGTCCCACTGCAACATAGATAATCATCCTTTACAACGACAACTTTTTGTCTATTTCAGACTGGTCTAGGTCTCTTGGTTTACCCAGAAATCCACTGTTGAAATTTTTTTCATTTTTGACTGCGGATTATATTTCTTTATCCACATGCTTTTTTCCAGAACTGTTATGAACAGCCAAACCTTGGGACGGGCTTCTCGTTTAAAATAAATTAGTGCTTATCTGATCCGAAGTGGTCCCATCGTGTCCAGGAAAACAAAGTTAATGCACTGAAATTTTATCTCCCATTTCACTTAACCTCGAAAACTACTTTCACTCTTACTTGCACTGTCACTCGTCTGTCCGGATTTGCTTTATGGGCCCAAAAACGCTAAAAATATTTCTAATTAACGTTTTATTCCGTACAGCCGTGTATTACATCCTCTCCATAGTGCGTCCCTTCGTCGACTGCGCGCCAGAAATTCAGGCTCATTTATGCTCGTCCGACAACATACCGCAATTTATTTGCATTGTATTTTGATCGTGTGCCGTTTCTAAATGCGTTGTGAAACAAACTCTGAGGAATCGTTTTTACATTTTATTTAGTGGATTATCTTTGCCCTACTATGGAACGTCGGTTTCATGCCAAATCATTCCTGTGGCTTGTTGATCATTTACCTCATTTTGGATACGTTGAGTTTATTCCAGGCAAATAGCACTCAGCTGTGTAAGAGTTCTATTTTGTTTCTTGGGGTTCTCACTTCTGAAAATCTATTCATAAGAAAGCCCATCCTCGAGGAACCACAACAGCACATCAACTCAACGAACAGTAAGTCGCCGGTAAAGCTAAACTGAAACTGGAGAATTATATGCTTCAAGCTGCTGATGTTTAATTTTAATTCATTTCAAAGATGTGATCAAATGTCGTCCGCGTAATCGATTACCCTCCAGTTCATTGCATAAATAACTAAGATTATGATCGATTCTGGTGCGCACGCCTTTTAGCTATTCATCTTCCTCTAACTCCTGTCAGTGAGCACTTAACTGTCTCCATCC